CTGGGGTCGTTCAGCCTGAAGAAGAGAATGCTCTAGGGAGCCCTTATAATGGCCTTCCAGTACCTGAAGGGGGCCTACAAGAAAGCTGGAGAGGGACTTCTTAAAAGGGCATGTAGTGATAGGACAAGGGATAGTGGCTTCAAACTGGAAGAGGGGAGATTTAGATGAGATCTGGGGAAGAACTTCTTTGGTGTGAGGGTGGTGAGAGCCTGGCCCAGGTTGCCCAGAGAAGCTGTGGCTGCCCCATCCCTGGAGGGGTTCAAGGGCAGGTTGGAGGGGGCTTGGAGCAACCTGGTCTGGTGGGAGGTGTCCCTGCCCAGGGCAGGGGGTGGCAATGGGTGGGTTTTAAGGTCCCTTCCAACCCAAACCATTCTACGACTCTATGATATTTTTTTTCAGTGTTCCTATTATTTATTAATGAAACTGAACAGATCTGTACACAACAGCAGAATCTGGCACTGAATAGTTAATCCTGCTGTAAAGACTGCGAAATCAGCAGGAAGAGCTGACTTCAACCATCAGGGCTTCAGTGCGGAGGATAAAGGTGTGTTTTTGTTCCCCTGTGGTTCAGATCAGGGACGTCCAATCTACTGAACACAGATACAGTTTCAATTTCTTATTGAAGTTGGACTCTATTGGTAAAACTAGAATAACATTTTAGAAAATATAAATGCCTAAGAAAGAGCTTGAAGAATTCCCCACTGAGGTATTATTTTACTGCCTTATACAGAGCAATTCTGCCTCACAAAATGAATAGCAAAAGATCCAACTGTAACTAGATATTATGCAAAAGGGAGGAATGAGGATTTTGCTAAAATAAAATTATTTTTATAACTGTTTTTCATTTAACTTTTATAGCAAATATTTTCTGCAAACCTCTGGAAAAACTTTGCAAATATATCTATACAACAGCCAATTTGTACAAAATATTTTATTCTTCAGCTTTGTTCAAAGTTGTAATGAAATGCAGCAAAGAATGCTCTGTGCCCTCTTGTCAAAAGCTGCCATAGTGCCTCTCTGATGCCTGACCTGAAAGCCCCATGTTTTAACTACTTTTCCAGCTTGTAAGAAGATCTTTGGGTTTTTTTCACTCTACCCTTGTTTACAGCAGTATTTAAAAAATAATGATAACATTAAATACCACTATTTGAAAATGAAGACCATCCCTTATGAGGTGCAAGTTATTGAAAAGCTATTCACAAATAGGGCTAGCAGAAGTATTAGTTATTCTGCTTACTAGAAATGTCAAACTATAAACCTCCTAGAGCACCTGTTAAATAAAGAAAGGCCGGATGAAAACTCAGCATCCTCATTCAAATCTGTGATTTTTTTCCCGCAGTATTTTCCACTACTCAGCCAGATGCCAGGCTTTAATGTTTGTCTCCTTTAGAAATCAGTTATTTCGCCAGTTTAGGCTGTTTATTCTTGATGGTTGGACAAGATGATCTTTAAGGTCCCTTCCAACCTAGAAGATTCTGTGATTCTGTAAAAAACTGGCTGGATGGCCATGCCCAGAGAGTTGTGATTAATGGGGTGACATCCAGTTGGCAGCCGGTCACCAGTGGTGTCCCTCAGGGCTCAGTTATGGGGCCAGTCTTGTTTAATATCTTTATTGATGAGCTGGATGAGGGGATTGAGTGCACCCTCAGTCAGTTCGCAGACGACACCAAGTTGGGTGGGAGTGTTGATCTGCTTGAGGGCAGGAAGGCTCTACAGAGGGACCTGGACGCAGAGAGGTGGTGGAGTCCCCTTCTTTGGCAAAAATTCAAAACCCACCTGGACAAGCTCCTGTGCAACCTGGCATTAGGATTCAAAGGAGGCTGCGTCCTCCGGCCATTGGAGAGATCCCCGGGGGACGCTCCCTTTATTCCAATCAGGTCCTTGCAGGACTCCTCTGTCCCTTTGGGAACACCCACCTCTGGCTACGGGATTTTCTGTAGAGGGGGATGTCCCCCAGGCCACCTCACCTCCTCGGGGGTGACACCCCCTCAGACATTCCTCTGGGGTTTGGAGATTCTTCTTGCTCCCGCCGCAGCCCCCGTAGATAAATTCCTGGCAGGTCTCATTGGCTGGGGAATAGAACCATGGTTCAAGATGGTGAGGGATCTGGAGAATAAGTCTTATGAGGAGAGGCTGAGGGAGCTGGGGTTATTCAGCCTGGAGAAGAGGAGGCTGAGGGGAGACCTTATTGCTCTCTCCAACTCCCTGAAAGGAGGGTGTAGAGAGGTGGGGGTCGGTCTCTTTTCTCAAGTCACAGGCGACAGGACAAGAGGAAATGGCCTCAAGTTGCACCAGGTTGGAATGGGCTGCCCAGGGAGGTGGTTGAGGCCCCATCCCTGGAGGTGTTCAAAAGACGGGTTGATGTAGTGCTGGGAGGTCTGGTTTAGTGATGATGCTCCTTGATTGTTGTGGGGGTGTCTATTTTTGTCAGTTGGGTTGACAGTTGGACAAGATGATCTTGAAGGTCCCTTCCAACCTAGAAGATTCTGTGATCAGGGCGATGCCCCGGGGGACGCTCCCTTTATTCCAATCAGGTCCTTGCAGGACTCCTCTGTCCCTTTGGGAACACCCACCTCTGGCTACGGGATTTTCTGTAGAGGGGGATGTCCCCCAGGCCACCTCACCTCCTCGGGGGTGACACCCCCTCAGACATTCCTCTCTGGTCTGGAAATTGTTCTTGTTTCCTCGACACCCCCCGTAGATAAATTCCTGGCAGGTCTCGTTGGAATAAAACCAGCGGGGGAAGGCGGCCCGGCACGGCCCCGTCACCCGGGGGGCAGCACAGTGCTCTGGGGGGGGGACAAAAGGGGGGGACAGTGAGTGTGGAACCCCCCTGGAGATGCCTGAGTTTGTGAGGGAGAGAAAAAGGAGAAAAAGAGCCCATTCAGGGGGTGGTTTGGG